CCCCCACACCCCAAGCAGCCGAGGCAGTGGGCCTGGCGCTGCTCTCTGGGTGCCACGGGGGGGGGGGGGAGGGTGCCCAAGCCGGCTAGGCTGCCCTGCCTCCTTCCCCCAGGGGCTCGGAGTTGCTATTGTAAACACTGAGCCCCCTCTCCCCGCCCCCAGTTAAGCTGACAGTGATCAGATACTGTCAGCTGGCCTTTCTAGCTCACTCACTGTCTCCGCTACCACCTGGGACGGGCCCAAGCTGGTCGATGCAGCCTCCAGGTGGACACAGCTACAAGAGCCCCCGGGTGTCAGCCAGTGTCGGTCCCCCACACCCCGTCCCCAGGATGTGAGCCCTGCAAACGGGGGGGTGGGTGAGTGACTTTCAAGGCCTCTCCGGTCACTGGCACAGGGCTGGGTGCTGGGCTCTGGGCTTGCCACAGAGGGCACCGAGATAGACAAGAGCGTGATGGGTCTCTCTTAACCAAAGTCAGTGCTACTGAGAAAATGGACTTGCGGAGGGCGCTGACTTCACATCACAGATAGGATTTCAGGGTCTTCACCTCAGATGAGCCTCGCCGCAGAGCTGAGGTGGCCCACCGGGGGCGCCATGCCTGGCCATGCCCAGAATCACACGGGCCACGTCACTTCCTAGTCACTGCCGTGACTGTGACTTCTCTATAAATGTCCAAACTTCCCAGTGGCTGGGAGAGAAGCATCTTACCACATACAAGTGCTGCCTCGTCTCCGTCTTTAAAATGCCTGGGAACGTTGGTGAGCAGCCCTCCTAACGCAATGAGCTTCCGAGCGCCGCCCTGATCCCTCCCCAGCTCCTGTTACTCAGGACACGGGCCCTCCCTGGGCCCTGAGGTCACCCTGTTTTGCATTCATAGCTTGCTGTCACCTAAAGTCCCTCAGGGCCCCCTCCAGCCCAGCAGCAGAGGGGTGGGGACATCAGCCCTGGCCAGCCTGGAAGGGACGAGCCTGGCAAAGCTGACAACAGCCTGTCCCACGAGGGCAGGGCGGGGAGGTCCTGGGGACAGGCTGACCTCACCGGCGACCCCTCTGCTGCTCACTTCCGGGAGCCGCACACGATCCAGCCTGCCCGGCGTGAGCCTGCAGGCGGGGGTGTCGGGGTGCCCACGGCATGCCCTGTATAACACGAACACACGAGGCCATCTAAGCTGCGGGGTCTGTTCAGATGTCAACTGTCTCCCTAAGAAGTCGGAGTTGCCTCATCCCAGCCTAGCGGACGTGGAGGGGCTGACACAGCAGTCCTGCAGCACGTGAAGCTGGATTAACAGGACCCCGCCTTCCTGCTGGCTCACACGACGCTCCCGGAAGTGCTCTCTGACACCGCAAGCTCGTTATCCATAGACGTGGCTCTAGACTCTAGCTCGGCCCGACAGCAGCGCTCCCAGGATCAGGGCCACACGTGGGCCCGACAAATGTTCCAGGAAGGCAGCTCTGCTCCAGCCAAACACGACGGCGGCCGCCAGTGTGGGTGCCCGCGGGCCCCCACGCGCTGTCCGTCAGAGGACAGGCAGGGTGACTAGAGACTCACCGAGTCAGGTGAGTCAGCTCCCACACCAAGCCAACGTCCCTTTCCCCTCCCCTCCCCACTACGTACATCTTTAGGCAACCAACGGGCATGCTTCAGGCTCTGATGCTCATTCTTGACGTCTGTAGCTTTTGCTACCAAAATAAGCACACACGCCCCCAGCCCCAGTAGGAAACTCACTGAACTAATCGTGTCAGCCTGGAGACCACGTCCGGTCCCACGGCATCATACGGGAATTAGGCCTGAGAGCCACAGCCTCCTACACATCCAGAAGATTCCTGAACTCTCAAGGCAGGGATACTGTGACATGCACGTTTTCACTTAAATGAAAAGCCACCACTTGCGCCAGCGCTTAGGAAGCCCAGCGGCATAAGGGCTGGAGCTGGAAAGAAGGACAGAAATAAAAACACCCCGGGTGTGGCACGTGAGCGGTGTCACCCCGGCGCTCACCGGTGTGCTCCTGCGGCTGAAAGCCGCCCAGCGAGGCAGTGCAGCGTGCAGGGGATGGCAGGGCCCCGGGTTCAGACTCTTGCCCTGCAGCACGCGTGTCCTCTGGCCGCCCTCCGCTCGGTCTCCCCCTCCCCAGCTCGCTAAGGATTTCCACAGCAAGGCTCTCCGGAGGCACTGCAGCAGGGCGGGCGCACGAGCCAAACTCACGAACACCCAGAGCTCGTCCGGAAAACTGAGAACGACAAGAAGCCAATGACATCGAAGGAGCAGCGTGGCAGCCGTGGGTCCAAACGAAACAAGGAGCTGGGTCCCAAGCAGCGGCCCTGTGTGCCCACAGCCTGCCTGGCGGGGCAGGGCCTCGCATCCTCAGCCCCTTAGATCCGGGGCGGCTCCGGCGGCGGCGGCGGCTCCGCGGACTGCGTCTGCAGTGCTGAGTATTTCACTAGGGACAGGAGAAACCCGTCAGGAAGGAGTCATGTCCACCCCACACGAAGACACAGAGACACGATCATGTCCTTTCCTGGGCACAGAAATCCAGTTCCCTGTGTGTCTGTCCCAGACAACTGGCCCCTGGCACCCGCTGTGGCCCTGGAGACGAGCTCGGCCTCTACTTCCTCATCCGTAAAGCGGGAATGGTCCCGGCACAGTGGCTGGGAGGAGTTTTTTCGATTTTTTTCTATTTTTTGGCCACGCCGCGTGGCTTGTGGGATCTCCGTTTCCTGACCAGGGATTGAACCCGGGACCCGGCAGTGAAAGCACCGAATCCTAACCGCTGGACCACCAGGGAATTCCCAAGGGAGGAGTACTTTAAATAAAGCACGTAACACAGCACCTGGCCCATGGTAGGTACCAACACGGTGGTGGCCAAGACTTGAAAACATGAGTACAGTGACTGCAACTGTAGAGTCCCTTTTCCCACGTTTGAAACCCAGGGCTAGCGAATCCATCCGGCATCCTATCCTAAGCGACCGGATGCCCCCCCCACCCCGCCCCCACCGCGCCCATGGCAGCCCTGGGCGGTCCCTCCAGCCGCAGCCTCAGCGCCCAGCCCAGCAAAGGCACGCCTGGGCTCCTGTCTCTCCCGCCCACCCCGGCCTGGAAGCCCTTCCCCGGCCTCGGCTGACGACAAGCGGCCTGCTCCCCTTCTCCGTGAAGCCTTTCTTGGTCGCCTCGTTGGCATTCTGGGGCCACAGGCTGCATCTGCCTTGAGAGGTTGGCCACTCCAGGCCGGCAGCCTGACGTCACGCAGCCTGTAACCGCTGGCGGCTCACCGCGGCCAGCAAGTGCCTGACGATCACAGGACGGCGGGGGTGGGCCTCCCTCTTGCCTGTGGCAGTTTTCAGATGGAAAGGGCCCGGGTCGAGGTCTAAAGGATCCCCACAGCTTCCGCCGGCGTCTGGCCGGCGCCAGTCTGTCTCTGCGGGCGGGGAGCAGAGGCTGAGCCCGCACCGTGAGCAGACGGCCCTGGCTGTGCTCCCCGTGTCCCTGGCATCAGCCCATCGTTCTGGCTGGAAGTTCTAGAAATGGCCACCTCTGAGCGTCCCTGCTTTCCTAGCCCAGGTCTGCTCGGTGCCGGGCCCAGCCGCTAGGAGGCCTTCAGCAAGACAGTGACCTGGAGGTCCTCACCTTGGGGCTCCTCACACACAACGGCCTCCGGGTTCTCCCCCTTCACGTAGTCCGCACTGAGACCCTCTGCAAAAGGCAAAGGGCGGAGTTGGTGACTGACGCGGAAGCAAAGGGTCCCCGGCCACGAGGCAGAACGCCTGACCAGGCCCTCCGTTATGGTGAGAAAGCCCAACCCCCTTGACGAACTCAGACCCCTGCAGCCCGGGCCACCCAAACATCTCTGTCCCCGCATCTGGGCGCAGAGCGGCCAGGAACGTGTTGTGACATGCGGCAAAGGCCCCGACACCCATCCCCATTGGCAGGTGCCACCACGTTGTGAGACTGTGGGCCACACGGCAGCTCCGCCCAGCAGAGGGGCACCGGATGGCAGGACTCAGCGCCACCCCTGGGTCCATGTGCTGGCCCAGGAGCCAGGGAGGCAAAGAGGGAGCCCGGCACTGCGTGAGTGACTGATGGAGAGGGGGCGGGGCAGATGGCTGGATGGGCTCCGCTGGGCAGCAGGAAGAAGTTTGTCCCAGCCCCAGAGTGGAGGGCCCAGGACCCACGGACGGCTGCTCTGGTCCAGTGAGTTATTTGGGCTTCCTCCCCACCTGCGTCCAAGAGGGACCTGGGGACTCTACAAGGCGTCCTCTGCAGGCCAGCACTCAGGCCACTGAGTGGACCCCACCCCTGCCACTGCGTGGGGAGACTCAAGAGGATAAGCCGGGGACTGGGAGCCTCATCAGAGCCCTGGGCCTGTGGGAAGCTCGGGCCACGGTTCTAACCAACCGACTGAGCAGGCGCCAGCGTAAGTCACTCCGCCATCCCGGGCTGCATTCAGGCTCCTCACGTAGAAGGGATGCCTGCCTGCCCTGGTGCTCGCTGGGCTCAAGGCGGGCACCAGATGGGCCCAGGGAAAATGCGGGTGTCACTTGGCGGCAGGTGTGGGGTGGGATGGGTGACAGAGCCAGTGGAAGCTGTTCCCAGCGGATGGGCCAGGGCCAGGAGGTGCGCCCTGAGCCTCCTGATCTCTCAGCAGCTGCCGAGCTGGCATGCGCCAGACTGTCTTCTGCCTGCGGGCAGGCCTCTGGTTGCTTCGCAGGGATGACCGCCAGTGGGTATGAGTCCTGAACAGGACCTCCACGCCCGCCCCAGCACCCCAAAACGCACGTGGAAAACTAAAGATGGTCGTGGTTTCAGCCAAGTCGGTGAGCACCAGGGAAGCGGACGGGGGGCGCGGGGTGGAGAGTGGCGACAAGGAATGAGAGAAATGGGGAGGGGAGGGGAGGGGGGGGGAGGGGAGGGGAGGGAGGGGAGGACATGAAGTGTAGAGGCCAAAGCAGAAGAGGAAGATGAGTAAGTCAAAGCACGTCGTTACCTTGACCTTCTGCTGCATCTGAAGGCAAGACACAAAGCTTAGGACCCTGGAGCAAGAACTCAGCCCCCGGCAACAAGCCACGTGGGCTTTCCACGCGACACGCCGACCCTTGGCGCTGAGGGCAGAGACATGGGGAGCAGAGGGTCCCCAAGGCCGGGACCCCTTTGGTGGCAGTCAATACCGCAAGCCCCTGAGCACCACTGCGGGGTCAGGCCCTCCTAGCAGTCACGTGCCATCCCCCAGGGCGTCCCCGTGCACCGGGTGCAGGGCAGCTTCTGCTCCACCTTCCCTGACTTACTTCCCCGAGGAGATGGCTGAGGCCACTCTGGGCAGACGCTTAACAGAAAGCGTGGGCATGGGAGGTCCTGTCCCCCAGCTTCTCAGGGGATTAACCACCCAACGGACATCCATGGGGCTCCTCCTGATGCCAGCCCAGCCTAGGTGCCAGGGACACATCAGTGGCTGAAACACACACAGCCCCCCACGGAGAGCGATGGGCTGGGGGGTGGGGCAGCAGCCGCGGGCACAAGCCCACAAGCCCCGTCCCGCCCCAGCGGCGGCACGGCGGGGCAGCAGGGGGCGCTGTGGCAGCGTGCAAGGCAGACATCTCCTCTGGCCCACAGGCTGGGAGGGCGGGAAGGCTGCCTGGGAGGGTGTCCCAGGCCTGAAGGAAGAGGGCTGCTAGCGGGACGCCGGGCGGGATGCTGGAGCAAGCGGTACCCACTCGGGGAAGCCAGTGCGGCTGTGGAGAGGCTTCTGGGGACGCGTCCATGGGCAGGGAAGAGAAGGGATGCGGTTGGAGCCAAACCATGAAGGGCTGTGAATGTGAAGCCCAGGGGCTGGGCCGGGGGGAGGAAGCGTGCATTTGAAATGGATCCCGCCGGCTGCTCAGAGCAGGGAGAATGGTGGGGGAGACCGGGGCAGGCAGGGGGCTGATGGAAACATCCAGATGGAGGACCAGGGCGGTGGCGGTGGAGAGGTGCGGCCCAAGAGCAGAGCTGCACGAGCCCCAGGAACAGGGACCCCGCTGATGTCACATCAGGGGACGTCGGACCCAGGAGGGCTGGTGGGATTCATAAGGGGAGGCGGGAGCGGATACAACTTACACACTTGAAAGAAAATGTTGGTAGCACAGCGGGCGGACACAGAAGCAACGGGGGGCTTTTTCAAATGTGGGGATGCGCCGCACTCAGTTCCCTTCTAAGGAAACTGGGGGTGATGGTGGTACTCGCGCGAGTGTCCAGCTGAGGGGCTCAGGACAGTGTGGGTTTAGCAATGACAAGGACATCACCGACAGACTAAGTAAGGGGAAAGGACCGGGGGGGAGGGTCACCCACCCTCAGACGGAATAGGCGGCTGGGAGAGGCCCTCAGGTTCCGTGAGCTTCCTGGGAGCCCGTGGGAGCCCCCATCAGCCCTGCAAGCACGCCGGGCCCCCTGGCCTGGGCCCCCGGCACCCAGCCCAGCAACATAACACCCTCACCTCCAGGCCAGCCCCGAGAGAGAGAGGTCACATGCACGTCCTCCGGCCTTGCTGCCACAGGGCTTTTCGCTGTCAGCTACGCCCCTTCTTTTTCGTTTGTTCTCTCCCAAACACCACACCAATCGCTCAACTCTATGTACCAAGGCCTTCATGTTCTCACATTTTATCGGGTTTTGCCCGCTAATCCAGTTTGCAAAACCTCACATCTGTTTGTTTCAGGAAGCAAGTGTGAAAATAATATACTTTCACCTGAGTGCCCCCACCAGGACAGACACACAGTCCAGAGTCCATCTATTGTTGGCTTTGCACATCAACCTCTTTCTCCCTCCTTGTTCCCATCTACTGGCACCCCTTCCCTTCTAGACTCACCGCTTCCCGTCTTGAGTGAGTTCCTTCAACAGTCCCCTGAGCCTCTGTCTCCTCAGCTATAAAATGAGGGTTCCCGGCACGGCTGCCCCATCGGGCTGTGGGAGTGCTCAGGGTGGTGACCCACACTCAGTGTCGGGCGCTGGCAAGCGTGGAGCGCCTGGGAAGCCATGCTTACTATAAGTTTAGGCCCAGCTTTTAGTTTCTCGTTTACCCAACATGCATTTTAAAGTCTCAAAAGCCATCCCGTGGCACACAAGCCACTGGCCCAGCTCTGCAGTGGGCATGTATTTGACAACCGTGGATTGCACTCATGTCACTGTTAGGGTTACAATGCTGAACTGGGGTGAATGGTGGCCCCTAAAGACTATGTTCATGTCCTCACCCCTGGAACCTGGGGACGTGACCTTCTTTGGAAAAAGGGTCTTTGCAGATGTGACGAAGTTAAGGATCTCAAGATGGGATCATCCTGGATTTAGGGTGGGGCCCACACCTAAATGACAAGTGCCCTTTAAGAGACAGAAGATGACACAGACACAGAGGAAAAGGCCACCTGAAGACAGACGCAGAGATTGGAGTGATGCAGCCATAAGCCAAGGGATGCTCGGGGCCACAAAAGCCAGAAGAGGAAGGAAGGATCCTCCCCTAGAGCCTCCAGAAGGAACCAGCACTGCTGCCGCCTTGATCTTGGATTTCTGGCCCCCAGAACCATGAGAGAATAGATCTGTTGTTTTAAGTCTTTTGAGCTCTAAGGCCAACCCAGCCTCCAGCTCTGCACTGCCTCTCGCTCTTCCTGTTCACACACCAAGCATTCTGGGACCCAAGTCGTTTCCTGGGAAGCTCAGGTCCAGGCTAGAATTAAGTGCAGAGGCCCAGAGCAAGGGAAGGGGAAGCCTCACAGGGGATGGTCCTGAGCTGCAGGAAAGAGGAAAACTATGGCTGAGTCAGGGTCTCTCACTTGAACTAAAAATCGCCTGTCTTCAACCAGAGACACTCTTGGCAAACAGCGACACATCGACACCGTGCTTATGAAACCATCGATAATGGCGTCCCCACGGGGCTCCCCCCGACACGGGGCTCCCGTGGGTGGGCGTCTCAGACACATTCCATCTGTAACTATTCAGTTCACACACCTCGGATAGAGTCACAGCTACAGCCTAAAATGAAAGCCGCCTATGTTACGAAGCTGGTGTGTAACGTGGTGGGGGGGGACCACACTCTCCTCTTCCTTTAAAACAATTCATGATTCTCTGGCTCACGGGGAGAAGCGGGGGCGCCCAGGCAGCGGGCAGCGGCTCCTCGGGATCTGAGAGGGAGGGGAGGGCTGCCAGGACCTCCGAGGTCCCGGGGATGCCTGCCTTCTGCCTCCGAAGGGCCCACATCCCCTTGGGTGAGGTCTGAAGCCACGTGGATATCCAGGGGCTCTCCCGTTCTACGAGAAACCCAGGGCTCACCCTTGGAAGATCAAGGTCATTGGGCCCAGCCCAGTCCTCTCTTCCAGGCCGCTTTACACTTCAGTTTGGCCGAGGTCTGTCCCCAAGGGTTTTAAAAAGTGCAGCACCACCTCCACCTCAGCCCGGGGAGATCTGCTGAGGAGGTGTCTTGGGCAGGCTGTGGAAGGTTCCTGAATCTTAACTTGCTCGGGGTTCTGCCCCTTCCCCTCCAAAGCCCTGGCCCCTCTGTTCACGTCGAGCAGCGGGAGGGTGCAGCCGCAGGCGGCCGCAGGGCAGGTCCACTTACGCTGAATGCTGAAGCAGAACTTCTTCTGCTGGTAGGAGATGTAGCTGGAGACAGCGCCGATCAGGGCCATGGCCAGAGCGCTGGCCACGCCGGCAATGGTGCCGGTCTCTGCTGACATGCCTGGGGAATGCAGAGAGGCGGGGTCAAGCCCACGACGCCACAGGGATTGGCTCAGGCACCTGGCTCTCCTCTACCCGGCGAGCTAAGCTTGTTCTAGGGCCCGTGACCCCCAAGCCAGTGTGCGGGGCTGTGCCACTTATACCGAAGGGCGGAAAATGACACAGTGTGCCCATGGGTCTACCAAGTACTTCCCGTTTTCCGTAAGGATTTCCATTTTGAGTGGCTTGAAAGGTGGCCGTGGAGGCGCTGCAGCCTCCACCCCGCCAGCTGAGGCTCAGATAGGCCAGCGGGCTGCCCCTGGGGCCACTTCCCCGGGATCCAGAGCTTCACGCTTAATCCCTTTAAATGGCTGCATTCCTCTGCTGGTGGCCTCACTGACGGGTCTCTACCAGGAACCGTCACGGGAGGGTCGGGAAGACCAGCTCTGAGACGAAAGCGGGCCAGTTTGTGGTTTCCAGCGGAAACCTCGGGACTCAAACTCACCGGATCCTGAGTCGTCCCCGCTGCCATACTGGCCATCACCTGCAGAAAGAACAAAAGCCGTCAGTGTCCTCCGTGACCACCAGCTCGGCGTCGGGAGGGACAGCCCCTTCCCGACTGGCTGAGCCTTTGGGGTCCACCTCTGCCCCAGGCCCTGCCAGCACAGCCCCTGTGGGCTCTGCCCTGACTGTAGCAAGACCTGCTTCCTTATGCCTGTCACCTGCCAAAGCCCAGGTGGGACGTTTTATTTTTGAAGTGACAGCGACTGTGCACTGAGAACGTGTTACATCCTGGCTCTTCACACGCAGTCCGCTGGGGCAGGTGCGCCCAGCAACCATCCCCAGCGATAGCGCAGGGAGCAGAGGTGCGCAGGTGGGGGACTTGCCGGCAGGTGGCGGAGCTGAGCCCACGCCAGGCGAGCCTGCCTCTGAAGGATAACACCGCGTGGGTCCCATGCATCTAGTGTCCCCTCTAAAATATATTTATCGTTTACCTAATTATAGAAACACGGTGATGTAAAACTTTGTTTTAAAAAAGGACGAAAGACCAGCATAGAAATATTTCATCATCCCACTACCCAAAGAGATTTACAGTTAATATTTCAATTTCTTTTCCTCCTGTCCTTCGCCCTTTACCTGGTTTTCTTCAAATCCAGATGCTTCTGCTCATGTAACGTAGGTGCACATACGGTGCCCTTACGATATGCTACAGAATTCAGTGGTAATCGGGAGTTTTTTAAGGGCCATCCACTTCTGGCTTGGCCTAGACTTTGAGTTGTTCTTGGAACATAAACCAATGCAGGCTGACAATCGCCTATCTAGGATTTTGAAATTCAAAAGGCTCTGAAATACCACAGAGATGGAGAACAGATTAGTGGTTGACAGGGGTTAGTGAGGGTGAAGACGGAGGGAGTTGGCTGTGATGAAAAGAGGGAAAGCGGAAGGATCCTTGTGGTGACAGAAGTGTTCTTTTCTTAACTGCAGTGGTGGTCACACAAACGTACATGTGATAAAATTTCATAGAACGAAACAGACACTCTCTCTCTCACACACACACACACCCTGCCCAGACAGCAGCTCCCTAACAAGCCACCGGTGCCATTTAGGACATTAACATTAACAAGCACCCTCTTCTTCTCAGGACATAATGCTCGTTAATGGAGGGAGCCCGTGTTCCCAGAGCCCAGGGTTCTTGGGGGAAGCTGCTCTAGTATGCTGGGGGGATGTAGGTGCATGAATTGTAACAAATGTACCCCCTCCGGTGGGGCATGCTGCTAATGGGTAGGCTGGGGGCATGGGGAACTCTCTGTACAGTGTGCTCAATTTTGCTGTGAACCTAAAATTGCTCTAAAAAATAAAGTCTTTTTTTAAAAATAAGAGTCTTGGGGGAGAAAATGAGGTCTGCTATGTTCCCACCTGGGACTGAATCCTTGAGTTAAATGCATTTTACAGACATCCATGATTGGAAATGAATGGTTATTTACAAAACAAGGAGCAGTGGCATTTTCAAAAACACAATCACTGCTGTCGGAGGAAGCAGAGCAGAGAGGAGGACGTGAGTCACCCTGTGCATTAACGTGTGCACAGCAAGGTCACTTGTGAGGACTGGCCCATCACTGGTCCCTTCTGCTGCGCCAGACGCGGCTGTCGTCAAGGGTAGCGGCTACCCCTCACAGGCGTCCTCTGCTGACGTGTTCATGTCACTAGATTTCCAGATAGGAATGAGCAATTCAACCCACTCTTTGGTTCACCTTGAGCTGGAACGAAGCTGAGTGTTCCCACGTCTCCCTTTCCTGATTAATTCTTGATCATGAGGATTCACAACAACTTGAACCTCACAATCTGTATGGCCAGGAGCTATGAGGGTGTTACATGAAATGTAAACAGGAAGGCCCCCTGATCTCCAGGGGCATCTGGAGAGCTCTGGCTCCCCCTGGCCGTCAAAAATATTCAAATGCTCAATTCTTCAGTCTCTAGGAATCCCTGACTATCTGACCATCTGTGATTGGACAAAAGCGTTTTTCTAAGAAGATGACAAATAAATGTTACTCCCTCCTCAAAAAGAAATGTGATCCCATCCTGTGGGTCACTCACTGCTCAGATGGGCACGTGGGCTGAGATACTAAGAGGTTAGAGAACAATTGGAAAATAAGACCCCAGTCATTCTAGATCCTTCCATCCCTTCTAGTTGCATGAGCCTGAAGTAGAGTCGGCCACCAAGGCTTGCCACTGGAGTTAGCCAAGCCAATGTCACAGTTTTGATCCCTATTTGGCTACTGAGCTCCATTCACTTCCTCTGAGCACAGGCTGAACCCAGCTCCTTTACGAAATGCATGCCATGCAAAAAGTGGTACTGGGACAACTGATGACCCACTGGCATAACAAATTTATCCAAACCAACACCACCAATGGGAGTAAGTTTCCAATAAATATAAAATGGATGAAGCCATAAAAGCACTACAAGAAAATGCAGGACAACATTTATATTGTCTTGGGGTAATGAATGACGTCCTAAACCTGGCCCTCAAGCCAGGAGCCTGAAATGGAAAAGATTATATCAAAAGTCAAAACTTCCATACTAAAAGCACAAGAAACGAAAGGGAAAAATGGATAAATTGGACTCTGTCAAAATTAAAAACCTTTGTGCTTCATAGAACATCATCAAGAAAGTGGAAAGACAGCCCACAGAATGGAAGAAAACATTGGCAAATTCTATATCTGACAAGGGATGAGTATTGAGAATAAAGAACTTCTACTACTCAATAAAAAGGCAAATAATTCAATTTTAAAATGGACACAGGATAGGAAGACACTTCTCCAGAGAGATATACAAATGGACAATGAGCACACGAAAAGAGCTCAGCATCCTTAGTCACCAGGGAAATGCAAATCAAACCCACAATGAGATACCACTTCACTCGCATTAGGATGGCTACAGTCCAAAAAAGGTAAATAGGTGTTAGTGAGGATGTGAAGAAATTGGATCTTTCAGACAATGCTGATGAGAATGTAAAGTGCTACAGCTGCTATGGAAAACAGGTTGGTGGTTACTCCCAAAGGTAAACACAGAGTTACCACAAGACTGAACAATTGCACTTCTAGGTATATATACCCAAGAGAACTGAAAACACCTGACCACACAAAAACTGGTACACTGATTTCATTGCCGCACATTAGTTGTAAAAGCCAAAAAGTGGAAACCACCTAAAGGTTCATCAACTGGTGAATGGGTAACTAAAATGTCTTTGGAAGGTATGAAAAGAGATTAATAATCCCTAATGTAAAAGGAGCCCTTACACATAAATGAGTAGAAAACGGGACAATGGGCACGAATAGTCAATTCACACAATATATTAAGAGTGTCTAATAAGACAGAGGTGAAAAGTGTTTCACTTCTTGGATGCAAAGACATGGAAAATTTAAACAGGATAGCATTTTGTACTAATCAAATCTGCGAAGATTACAAAACTAAAATACCCAGTGAAAGTGAGTGTATGAGCAAACAGGCAGTACACTCAGAGAGCGGCATCTTTAAAACTTTACACCTCCTGTGACTCTGCAGTTCAAGTTCTAGGAATTTGTCTGACAATTAAGGTTTTATACATTTGGCGATGAGGAAGTTCATCCCAGCACTGTGTACAGTAGTAAAAAGCTGGAGGAAAAACCCTCTCTGTACAAATATAGGCCCTGGTTAAGGAAGTCGCAGTGAAACGTAATATTACGCAGTGGTTGACATGATTTTTTAAAGGACTCCCTAATACAGAAAAAGATATTCGGGGTATTATCGAATTTAGAAACCTGGTTTTAAAAAGGTAACACGATCCCATTTTTGTAAAAATATTTACGAATATATACCTTATGCATAGAAAGAGTACTCCCTAGATGGTAAAACAATAAACAACTATTTTTCATAGAATTTTTCAAAGAATGTTTAAAATATGCAAGCCTCACGCAAATCTATCCACATCTACTTTCCCACAACTGGAGAAATAATTCAAAGAGGTTATTTCACAGGTCACTGGCAGGACCTTCATTTTCATGGACAATATGTTTTGTATCCTCGCCTGCCTTCTGAGTTCACAATTATACATCACAGCTACATACCAAAGAGCCTAGAGTCGCCTTCTATCGTACCAGAAATTCCCTAGTACAGCATATCTCAGATTACAATTTGCTTTGAGTATAGACACCTATACATGTAGATAGTTATGGAATGCCAGAGCTCTAGGGACCACTGTCATAGCGATAGTGACTGCCATAGCTGTAGGGACTGCCACCATAGCTCAAGGGACCCCATAGCTATAGTGCCCACCATAACTATAAGGGCTCCTATAGCCATAGTGACCACTGTAGCTACAGAGAACACTGTAGAACAGGAGGCATTACCCTGTTGTCAACAGAAATGTTACCTCAGCATCTTCCAACATAAAAGACAACAATGCACACACACTGATACGTACAGACATATCAATCTTGAGTCACAACAGCCGCATGCCTGTCAGACAGGGATGCAATGCACTGACGTGTCCCTCACTGACAACAGTGCAATTCCAGGCTCACAGCCAGTGCCTGACACGTCTGATTTGCCACGGGCATGGAGAGCCACGTGACAGTGGTAGATAACAGCTAGAACGGCCGAGGGGGGACGTTCAAGTGCTTCAGGACCTTTGTAAGTATGCTAGACTTCCAGCAGCCACAGCTAGGAGTTTGAGATATTTTTAAAAATTATCTTCATTATTAAAAAAGTGGCAGCAGAAATGCAAAGTAAAATTTAAAAAAAACTGAAAAATGAATAAACAAAGAGGGACAAACACTTGCTTCAAATGACCCATGGTTACAAAGTCAAATCGAACTGAAAAGAGTCAGCCAGAACGTGGCTCGCTGAAAGTCTCCAAAGCCCAGATCTCCTCCATCCCCCACCTCAGGGAAGAGAACGGTCACCCTACCCTCTAGATAACGTGACAGGTGCCCCAACCCAACACTGAGCTGTACACCCCACCTACCTATGGCAAGCTTCCAAGACACCAGAAGTTATCTCAGAGA